AAAAAAAAAAAAACACCTTTTAAGATGTCTCACTACAAGCAGCCCATACAGAAATGCCTGTGCTTCATACAATACCATCTTCCAAAGAATGGGAGGAATCTGATCACCAGGTCAGCTCCCAGGTGAAGCCATCCGTCTGACACAGTTCCTAAAACTTTTAACAGTAGAATAGGCCCAGTTCCTTCTCTAGAGCACATCCCATGCAGATGGAGGCCTGGAAGGCAGGTAGAAGGAGGGGGTAGGTACAAGGTGATAAAAGTAGACATTGAGCAGATACAGAGAGATCTTGGGCAAAGTAGAGCAAAACCCATGGGAAAGTTGGCAATCTTCTCAGGAAGCACCAGAGCCATCTGGTGGGACAGCCATGCCCTGAGTGCTGCCACCTCTCAGCCTGGAGCACCATCCAGGGCAGAATTCTGCTGCCTAAGTCTCCATCCCACCCCCCTGTAAAAGTGATCAGCAGCCCTTAGCTGTAGCCCGCATAGACTCACACATAGTTCTCACCCATCTTTGGAGCCTACACCTTCATTGGTTAGACAAATACCTAATCGAGGCTCTACTTTGTGCCAGCTACTGGGGATATAATAGTAAGCAAGTCTGAGTTTAGAATTCAGTGAGCAAGACAGCCACTCATGTGTGATAAGCATAAAAGAGTTAGGCTTGGTTTTCTGGGTAAAACCTGAAAGATTCACAGGAGTATGTTAAGATGGTTGGAAGGACAGATAACAAGAATGAGGTAAGAGCAGTGCGAATCACAGGAACGGAAGTCAGCTGAGTGTTGCTGGGTCCTGAGGTGGGACATTCTCGGGGCAGCTAACAGAGAGACTATAGCTGTGCTCAGGAGTGGAGATGGGACTTCATCCCAAGAGCATGGGTATGCCACTGGAGGTGAAAAGATGGGGCTTTTTGTTACCAACAGATCAGCGTAAAATGGAGGGGAGCAAGAGTGGAACCAGGCAGTCAGACTCAGCTGTTTCAGCAACCCAGGACAGAGCCAGTGATGGTGAAACCTGTGATAGTGTTTAGGATGGTGACCGTGGGGTTAAAGAAAAGCAAGTAGGTTGGATACGGAGACACCTAGGTTTCTGGCTTGGGCAACTGGGTATCATTTGCCAAAATAGGTAACATAGGAAGAGGATTTGGCAGTGAGGTTGCTCTGCTGAGTCATTATGAGCTTGCAGGCAACTCTAACCTGGGGGTTGTCTTCCTGCGACCTCCTCCTCCACAATGAGCATGTGCCCAGTGAAATGAAGAGCATGGCCTTGGCTCAGAGTTGAGGCTGCTTATTATTGGGGCACACACATATACTACTGAGAGGCTGTAAAGAATATGGTCCTGTGTCAGATGTACACCGCAGTAGCATGGAAATGATTAACATATAATACACTTAGATGGCTTGAATATTAAATCCTAAGAACTAAAGAGATGACTTTTCTGAGTGACTCTCTAATAGTCTGTCGGAATATCCTTCCTAGGAGTAGTTTCATATTCTGCTTTCTTTCAGGTATGCTCCAGAATGTTTAATTCAGTGTAAATTTTACATCGCCTCTGATGTCTGGTCCTTTGGGGTGACTCTGCATGAGCTGCTCACTTACTGTGATTCCGACTCCAGTCCCATGGCGGTAAGTCCTGCTTGTCTCTCCTCTGGAATCTAGCACCCGATTCAAACATATCCATCCTTCCTCTGCTTTCTAAGTGGTGTTTTCAAGTGAATACAATCCATGTGTTAAGATAGGATGTTATGTGTTATGTTATATGTTATGTGTTATGATAGATTGGGAGAGTCACTTTTTCACTTAATTTGGTTTATTGCTGGACAGTTGTTTGTGGCTTTCTTGTCTTGATTTCACAAATAACTCAAAGTTCTGACTTAAAAGGGCCTTACCTGCATGAGAAGACCAGGTTCATGTGAGAGTTCATGAGTTAAGTGAGGTGATGCTGGGTAGAGGGCTAGCCTGTGTGTAGTTTATTCCCAAACCAAAAAAAAAAAAAAAAAAAAACCAATCCCACTGCCACTGAGTCGATGCCGACTCATAGTGACCCCATTGGCTCTCTAAAGTGGTAAATCTTTATGGAAGTAGATTTCCCAGTCTTCCTTCTGCAGAGTTGCTGGTGGGCTCGAACCACCAACCTTCTAGTTAGTCAAGTGCCTTAGGCACTATGCCACCAGAACTGCTTTAGTTTATTCCCAGACATGGTTATTTTCATAGGAACAGGCTCCTCAGAAAGTAGTGGGAGGTAGAGTCTGAGAAGTTCCTTAACTGCTAATTGAAAGCTAGAGTAAGGATTTTGGACTTTCATTTCAAGTTACTAAAGAGAAAAGCATTTTTATTGTTAACTCTAATTTCCTGTTATCATTAGCGATTTCACTTTCATCTATTTGGTTATTTAGTTTTTATATAAATATGCACAAGATAAAACATTTTGTTTTATTTTATTTAGTTGTTCCTGAAAATGATAGGCCCAACTCATGGCCAGATGACAGTAACAAGACTTGTGAATACATTAAAAGAAGGAAAACGTTTGCCTTGCCCAACTAACTGCCCAGATGAGGTATTTATGGGCTACTTCACTGTAATAAAACTGTTTTTATTATGTTTTCACAACTTGAGCTATCCAGTAAGGGGAGAGGGAGTGGGAATGGGAACTGGGGCAGAAAATTCCTTTAAAATAGTATTCTCAAGCAGAATTACAGATAATATAGTTAAGAAATCATCTTATGGGCAGACAGTAGCCATATGTTATGCTCACTTCAGTTTTTATTAACTTGTTTTCTCTAAGGAGCATATTTTGGATGCAGTCTTATGATAAATAGATATAACTGCATTTTTATGTGTAAAGTATCCATTTATTTATAGCTTTTATCACATCAGTTTTTTGGTACGCATAAGTGAATTCAGTGCTTGCTTTGGTAGCACATATACTACTAAAGTGAATTGAGCCTTTAAGACCAAACTCTCGACTATTTAAAATGTACTGAATAGTGTAAGTCAAAGGATGACACCAGTTTGGAAATTTAGGGTCTAAATTGAGATTTAACTGTACTCTTACTGGTTTACAGTAACGACCTGGATCTTTCTACAGGTTAATTAGCCCTTGAGCTTCTTAACTGTTAAAATATTATTTATAAACTGTAGTTGTGTATCAGGTAGGACGGACTAGTCCCTGGAGAAGGACATCATGCTTGGTGGTAGAGGGTCAGTGAAAAAGAGGGAGACCCTCAATGAGATGGATTGACATAGTTGCTGGCAGCAGTGGGCTCAGGCATGGCAGGGATTGTGAGGCACAGGACTAGGCAGCGTTTTGTTCTGTTGTACATCGGGTCGCTGTGAATTGGAGCCAACTCAACAGCACCTAGCAACAACAACATAGCTGTGTAACTTTTTCTGTATTTTAAATTATTCAAATATTCTTATTTCCTAGTCAGCTTATTATTAAAGAAAATTTGTTTACATTTCTAAAATTGTTTTCTCACCCTTGAAGTTCAATAATTTAGAGAAAGCTCCCACACCCAATAACACTTTTACTGTTGTGACTTTTTTTTTCAATTTTACAGGTTTATCAACTTATGAGAAAATGCTGGGAATTCCAACCATCTAATCGGACAACCTTTCAGAACCTTATTGAAGGATTTGAAGCACTTTTAAAATAAGAAGCATGAATAACATTTAAATTTCATTATCAACTTCTCTCTTCTCCCCAACAATTACCCAAGCTATTCTAAAGACAAATTTTTCTAATGTACAAAGTTTTTGTTCAGTCTAAAAGCTCAACAAATACCTGAGTGTATATCCATGTATAAATAAGGCACACTGTGGTGCTTACTATGTGTAAAGACTTCTTTGATTTTGGCACTAGTAACTTAGTGACAGACAGTGACAACCAAGATATTAGAAAACACTTAAGCACTCCTCCTTTCGGAAGGAATATATCACCATTTTGTGTGGCTAGTTTACTGTCACCTACAATTATCTACCCAGACGGGCTTTTTCAAAACAAAATTGAGTTGACCAAAATAATGTGTCAAAAGGGTTGCTTTTTCCCAGGTGCCAGTTGATCTGAAATGTTTTTCTGGCACATAAATCAAAGATAAAGATTGACAGACATAGCCATACTCTAACATGCCGTCAAATTTCAGTATCTATAAAGTGATAGACAAGCATTCTTGAAATACTAGAAACCAGTTAGCATATTATTGTTTCTATACAAAGATGAGTGTATTCCTGTCACCAGTAGGACTTAAACTTCGAATTGTTTCTCCAGTGGCTTAGCTCCTGTCCTCTTGGGTGACCCGCGGTACCCATTTTTGAGAAAACTCTTTGTACACAAGGGGACAGCTGTGGAATAGATACTTTGCTGCATGATGTTAATTCTTAAGACCTAAGCCTGTGCCAGTGCTTTCCTAAGCAGTATACCTTTAATCAGGATTGATTCCAAGAACCTGGATGCTATTATACATGCTTTAAAGAAATGTCCATGTTTATCCTTTTACAACTCTACCACTTCGGGGCAAGCTATTCCAGTGTTGGTGTTGGATGCTGTATGCAACCAGTCAGAATATATACCACATACCTTGCACTGTTCTTAGAGTGTTTTGAAACTTACCTTCCATCTACGAGAGTCGATCACTATTTTGACCATCACCCTATGACACAAAACTTGAAAGGTTCAGCTAGAGGCACTGTGAAGTTCAGGATCCAGTAAACAATTTTCACTTTGCATGGAGGTAGCTGGGTAATCAAAAACAGTCTCTGATGCAGTGTGAACCATAAAGATCTGTATGACCATGAGTCTGAAAATTTTTTGTTAATGCTGTCTAGCATTTGTTCAGTATCATTACCCTGAAAAAGTGTTCAGAATTGATTCAATGGTAATGATAAACTTGCCATTTAAACTTGTTTGATAACCCCACATCATCAAGGTCTCTGTTTATGTCAAACCTGTGGCCACTCTATATGCACTTTGTTTATTACTCTTTATACAAATAAATATACTAAAGACTTTACATGCATATGTCTTTTAATATTTTCATTTTCAAAGCATTTCAAACAGTTCGCTTACATAGAAAAATAACAGATAGGCTTTTGGGGGTTGGTAGTGGTCCTTACTACTAACAACACTTGGTTTGCACTTTTGTTCTCTCCAACGCTAACAGGGCACAGGCCAGTGGGGAGAGCAAATCCACATGTGCTGTAATCCAAAAATTCTTCCACTCAGTTCTTTCAGTCTCTTCTTCTTGATTTCATTTTATAGCTCTGATTCAAAGTCTATCATCTTGCCTTTTTTCTGTTTTCATTACAGTGGAGGTGTGGTTAAGCACTGAAGAGGCTAACTCCAACAGGAAAATGGGAAGGAAAGGTGCAGAACACAGAGAATCCATTTATCATCTGCTGTAGAATTGAGTGATGCCTGATCATGATCAGTTATTTGTAGGTAGCATACTTCTTAGAAATTATTTTAATTTTCTAGGTGTCATTTTCCAACAGAAATTAGTAATACAATAAATTAGACCAAGCAAAATTCTTTACAAAGCATACAACATATGTATCAATTCTATACTTCATTATTCAAACAGGACCGATACTTTATATCATAGGCAAAACAGTAAGTCCTCCAAATGACGAGATGTGTATAATGCTCTGATTTCAGAAAGACTTGGATCACTGAGACCCAAAACTCCACATCATCAATTACAGACTCATAATAAACAAACTTAGAAATTTCTAGATGGCAAAAGGTTTCTCATGCATTTAATACCAAGGTCTTCAGAAAATGGTGATGTCAAAATTCATATGCAATCAGAACAGACAATTCTCTCAGATACAAACTGGGTTAAATAGTTGATAATTTTTCAGCCTAACCCACATTACAAAAGAATGAGACAAAGCACAGAGTGAGGTATAACTTACTAGCTCAAAATGGTTACAAATACTGTTGCTCTTTAAGACTCTTTCAGAAAGGGCAGTATTGACTGCTTTCCTTTATTGTGGAAATAGGGCATCTGATAATCAAACTAGGCCCTGTGCTAGTGTCTAGATCATTGCTAGTCTAAAAGGTGCAACAAGGCACAAGAAACCTGCAGTTCTTGCCACTTACAAGTCTGTCGCAAAGGTTAAGGGTCTGTCTTCAGGTGAAATAAAAGGAATACAGAATTAGTGCTATTAGCTGAGGGGTCACAAACTTTTTCTCTAAAGGAACAAACAGTATTGTGGCCTTCACAGGCCATGTGATCTCTGTTGCAATGACTCGATTCTGTAGCACAAAAGTAGCCCCAGACGGTATGTATTTGAATGAGTGCGGCTGAGTTCCAATAAAACCTTATTTATGGACACTAAAATTTGAATTTCATATATAATTTTTGTGTGTCATAAATTAACATTCTTTTATCCCCCAACCATTTGAAAATGTAAACATCATTCTTATCTCAATGGCAGTGCAAAAAGATGGTGGATGAATCTAGCCTATGGGGCACAGTATGCCAACCCCTGTTTTAGATCACAAAGCTACTTTTCTTCTTAAAATACCTGTGTTGTTTTTTTTTTTTAAATCCACAAAAGGTATATATGCTAAATAATCAAAATCAAACCAAACCCACCGCTGTCAAGTCAATTCCAATTCATAATGACCCAATAGGACAGAGTAGAACTGCCTGGTAGGCTTTCCAAGGCTGAAAATCTTTAGGAAACAGACTACCACACGTCTCCTGCAGAGAGGCTGGTGGGTTTGAACTGCCAACCTTTTTGTTTTGCAGCCAAGAGCTTTCACCACTGTGCCATCAGCACTCCTGCTACATTATAAATCAACACAGTTAAGTGTTAAGTGGTGTATGCTTGGACATCACTATCAGTCTATGTTTGGGTTTTATATTGCATGGCTGGTGTGTGGATGATAATTTAGTTTGCACATTGAGCATCTTTATGACATCACCGTCACTTTATTTGGTACTTGCACTTTTGTAGGAAAAATTCTAAAAAAATCTATAAACGAGATTACTTCTAGGGAGAGCAAATTGAAATGCACACTGGCTTATAAGAAACTCATTCTTCTAAGGCTCAGGAAACAACGCCGTTTCCCATTTATTGCTTCAAACTTTTATATATGGTGTCAAAATTATTCCCAGTCTGAAAACGAAGAATATTGAAACATTGTTAATTTCTCCAATGGACTATAAGTTAATATCACCTTAAGATGCATCTAATTCTAGTGGAAGATGTTCTCAATGGATGTTTCTTCTTATTGCTACTTATTTTTCATTTGGCAATTCTGCCTGCTGCACAACACAGATCCTTCTGGGAAATGATAAACCCGTATTTAAAGGATATGGCTAGTTTGAATGAAGTTAAGGCAGCGATGAACAGCAGAGGTACTGCAAGGGACCTATGAGGTTACAAGGAGAGAGCTCACTCAGTACACTCGCTTCTTCTTTAAGTAGGTTTCCATGTAATACGCTCCTGTGCCCTGAGAGTGCTGGTCAACAAACTCCACGGAACCTTCTGGGGCAGAGATAAGATATGACGAGCCTCGCTTTTCATTTCTTAGAGATGACACCTATGAGAAAGCACATGGGATGTTAAAATCTAACTGTAACTGCTTAATTCATTAACAATGTGTATTTGAAAAGCAATTCTTCTGATTTGGTGTAAATACTGGATAAAAAGCTTTATCAAAACCATACACAAACTTCCTTGTTAAGTTACACAATTAAATCTGTATCAAATCACCTGTGGAGCTTTTGCAAACTACAAACAAGCCTCTGAGTGTCCCTTCCTCGACTCCACTCACACACATTTGGTGCTCTGCTGCTCAGACGGGGTAAACCCACCGATCAATACACTGTGTATTCCTGAGGAACGGGAGCGGCTAAGGAGCCGAGCTGCAGTACTAACAAGGAGTGGCAAGAGAACAAACCAACAGGTGTAATGTCAGTGATGCACTTTAAAAGAACAATGAGACCTCTAACTGTGGTCTACAGAATAATCACGTGGGGAGCGTGTCAAACACAGACTCTTAGGCTCTCTGTCCTGAGATTCTTTTTCAGAAATGTTTATGATCAGAGAGCCAGTGTTCTCACAATTGAGCACAGTAACCAATACAGTAAATTGGGTTGCATAGCATAACCCTGTGATCTCCTAAGCCCTCTTAGTTTCTAGCTTTTACAGATACTGTGACAAGCTTTATACAATTTTATAATTTAACATACAATTAATATATAAAGCAGAATTATATAATCTATATACAAGAATTGTTAAATGACTGATGAGGAAGGCATTCAGCAATATAGAAGAGTCTACTCATAATTACAGTCTGTTTCTGAACAAATGTCACAATTTTAAAAACTCAGGTCAACCTTAGAAGGAACAGGTGATGAGTCTGTCACCCACCTGCTTGTAGATAAGAGTCAGTTCTCCATCATGCATGTTAAGAAGGGCAAGGATAGAAGACAAAATCAGAACCTACCTACTTTTAGTTTGTTTTTTTTTTTTTAAACCCACAAATTTTATTTTCATTGTCTTACAGGTATTAGTTAAGGAGATCTAATTTTTTATTGTCTCCTTTTATTGGTTTGGGAACAAATCTTTTTTTATTTTAAATAGTTTATGTATTGTAGCTGAGAATATACACAGCAGAATATACACCACTTAACAATTTCTACATGTACAACTCAGAGACACTGATTATATTCTTCCAACTTGTGCAACCATTCTCACCCTCCTTTTCCTGACTTCCTCCTCCATTAACTTCAATCCACTGACCCCTACTTTCCTATTTCATTTTCTGAGTTGCTGCTGTCAGTTGGATCCCATATAGATAGATCTTAACAGAGCACAATGCTCAAGGCAGACATCTTTACTAGTAAAGCTAACCTACTGTTTGGTTTAAAGAAGTCGTCAGGATATTTCTTGTTTAAGGTTTAAAGATTTATCTCAGGACAACAGTTTCAGGGGTTCATCTAGCCTCCATGGTTCAAAGAAAGTCTGGATTCTGTGAAAATTTGAAATTCCATTCTTCATTTTCTCTTTTGATCATGATTCTTCTATAGAATTTTTGAGAGCCCATCTATTTTTTTTTTAACTTTATTTTGGTGTGGTCTACTATTGTGACAGTAAATAAAATTCCTCTTTACATTGTATTTAAAGGAACATTTCACAAAATACTGACTAGCAAAGATAATTTGGCTTTAAATCCTGCCTGAAATTTTTTCCTAGTAATAAAACATATCTGGGATTTGCTTTATAATACCTGAGAAAAGGAATAGCTAGGAGTATAGATGAAACAAGACTAGCCATGTGTTGGTAACTGAAGCTTGGTTGATGAATACGAGGGATTCATTACACCATTCTGTGCTTCCTTATGTTTGAAGCATTCCATAGCCAGTTTTAAGTTTGCCGCTGGGGTCACTGTTCTAGAGAAGGACTGCCTGCAACAAAACCACTTGCTCAACTACTTTACCTGCTTAGTCTTCTTGCCCCTCCTCTCCTCCCACTGTCAGTCCAAGTCATTATTCTCCCTTTGAGTTCCTTTGTTGGTCTAGTGATCATCATTCGCGTGTGCTGGACTCAGACCACAAAACTGTCAGCCCCTTACTACAAGACAGAAGGAACTCTTATCAACTTCCTTCCTCTAATACAAACCCCCCCCAAAAAAAGAAAAAAACCCAAACTCACTGCCACTGAGTCGATTCTGACTCATAGCGACCCCTCCTTGGGTTTCCGAGGCAGTATCTCTATGGAACTAGATTGCCCAGTCTTCCTTCCATGGAGTGGCTGGGGGTTTGAACTGCCAGCCTTCGGGTTAGCAGTCACATGCTTTAGGCACTGTGCCACCAGAGCTCCTTCCTCTAATATATTATCAGTGTATTCCATGAAAGAGATTTTTTTCCCAAACATAAGGAGGCGGAAACAATGAACATGTCACTCAGATCTGGAAGAAAAATATTGTCAACTCGTTCTTCTCAACTCCCTTCTCTGATTCTTCCTGCTATGGACTAATCCATTGTTTCATGTCTTAGAATAAAACAAACAACAGCCCAAATTTTCCCCCTCTCTACCATTTTTTATTCTCAGAAGCCAGGAAGGAAATTTATTACATGCTTTCTTTCATTCAAAGAGCTTCCAAATGGTACTGCCCCATTAACACTGAGAGATGATGAGACCAGTGAGAAAATTCACTGAGCAGCACCAAAAAATTAGAACAGAATATGAAAATGCCTGTTATTACAACCCACATGATGATGGGAGAAGGTAATTCTTCTGATACACTCTATCAAAGATGTATAACTTTTAATACAAGGGCTGTGAGGTTAAATGGGGAATGTTGACAGTTGAAGATTTTTGAAGCAAAATAATTTTTTCTCTCTTTTCTTCCTTTCTCAACCTCTCCCCTGCTTCATCCAATAGAAAAACCACATAAGCCAAGATAACACCTGCTGGCTCAAATCCTAAACTCCCTTTACAACAAACAGAGACCTGCATCCACTTCCACACAATGATTCCATCATCACAAAGAAAACTGCAGAGCAACCCAGCACACCTGAATTAATAACCAAAATAAATAAATAATAAAATACACCAGCTCCACCTTTTCAAAATATTAAATCATAAAACCAAGACAAAACAAATCAATATAAAACTAACAGTTAAGACAAATTCAGAATTTCTAGCAAACAACAGACAACCTCAAATCAAAGGAAAAACAAAAAAACAAAAAAACAGGATAAGACAACAGAAGTAAAATCCCAAACAAAAGTGTTATTAAACATGGAAGAAGAGGAGGCAATAGAATTGTCCGAGAAGGAATTTAGAAGGTATGTTTATAGAACTGTACAAGAACTTAAGGAAACCTCAAACAGAAGCAAGGAGAACACAGACAAGTACCCTGAAAGAACTCAGGAAAACCATTCAAGAACAAAATAACAAGATTAATACACAATCAGAATTCATAAAAAAACAGCAGTTAGATATCCAGAAGATGAACACCAAAATTACAGAATTGCACAACACAATGGAAGCACAAAAGAATAGGCTAGAACTGGCTGAAAACTGCATTTCCCAACTAGAAGACAAATCCTGAACACCAGCCTGTGTGAAGAAAAATCAGAACAAAGATTTAAGAGAAATGAAGAGAACTCAAGAGTTATATAGGATGACATGAAAAGAAACAACATATGCCTCGTCAAAATTCCAGAACAAGAAGAGGCGGGAAAAAACACTGAGAAAATTGTGGAAGATCTACTAACAGAAAACTTCCCCCTATCATGTGGGAAGAAAAAGATACTTGTCCAAGAAGCTCAAAGAACCCCATACAGGATAGATCCCAAGAGAAAAACACCGAGGCATATCATAATCAAACTCTCCAAAACCAAAGAGAAAGAAAGAATCTTGAGAGCTGCCTGGGACAAAAGAAATATTACTTATAATAATCAAACAGTTAGGCTGAGCTCTGATTACTCAGCAGAAACTATGCAGGCAAGAAGGCAATGGGATGGCATATATAAAACACTGAAGGAAAAGAAATTCCAACCAAGAATCCTATATCCAGCCAAATTGTCCATCAAATATGAGGGCAAAATCATGGATATACGGGTGGATAGATGGGTGGACAGGCTGAACTAGTAGGTATGTCTATGCAGCAGGGAGTGTACCCAAGACCATGTACAGGGTTGGCAGACAGTGGTTCTACAAGTATATTTGTATGTTCTGTAAGAATTCTCAGGGGTATAGTAGAGCTGACAAAGGACAAGGTTGTAGTCACTTCTTGGTCCCAGCCAGCAACTTAGAGGGAGCAAGCGGTTGAAGCTGTGGGCTCAGGACCATAGTCACAGGGGACATCAAGCTCAATTGGCGTAACATAGTACACAAAACATTGTTCTACCTCCTACTTTGGCAAGTAGTGACTGGGATCTTAAAAGCTTGCAAACAGCCATCTAGATGCAGTGGTGGGTCTCTCCTCATCCAGAGCAAGGGACAATGAAGAAAACCAAAGATGCATGAAACAATTAGTCCTAGTGACTAGTAAACCATGAAATTCACAGCCTGTGTGACTATGAGGCCAGAAGAACTGGATGGTGCCTGGCTACCACTGTCAACCACTCAGAGGGGGATCTATGTAGGAGATCCTGGATAGAGAGGGAGAACAATGTGGAAAAAAACTCAAAATCATTTGGGAAAAAAAGGGGGTGAGAGGACCAGGTTTGCTGGTCTGATAGAGCCTGGTGGAACCACTGAGACTATGGCCCCTGGCTGCCCTTCAGGTCTGGAATTGAACCCGCACCTGTGGCTTCTGGCCAAGCAAAGGACAGGCATATGAGTTGAACATTTACCTGAGGTGAATACACTCCTAGGAGAGAACAATCATGGGAGAAAGAAAAGTTGTTTATGCACAGGGAGACAGCTCGGAGGCAGGAATGCATGGAGGGATGGACGCAGGGAGAAGGTGGCTTTCGGGGGGAAGTGGGAGGGGAGCTGTTGCATTGGGGTGGATTGTGGTCAATGTCGTGAGGTGGGGTGTATGTGGACTGCTGTATGTAAAGTGAATTTGCTCTGTAAACT